TTTTGGGATTTTTGAAAAAAATAATTAAACCTAAATATCTCGAAATTGATCCACATTTGCATAATGCATTTTATGGTTCATTTGATAGGTTATGACCCCAACTATCACGCCTTGGCGGGAATACTTCGAATTACCAGTAACCCTGTATATAGGGAATGCAATTCCGCAAGATAATTTCAATCCAGGTATTTGCTGGATTGAACCATCTTAGTCCCGCTGGATCCAGGTATTTGATGGATCCAGCAGGGTGGAACTAGACCTCTGAAATCTAAATTAAAGACTTCGTTTCCATGGTTTTAATTTGAAGCCAAATAAAACAAGCCTTTTGGTATATTTTAAATGGTTTATTTATTACTTTAGACATACAGATGATGACATAAATTGCAGTGATAATTAAACATTATTTTGGAAGTAGCTTCTTAAAAAAGTTAAAGTATTAATTGTGTCATCTGCTAAACAGCTTCTGATATTGCACACAAGGTAGCCAGCAGCTGAAAAAGCCCGCTCAGCTTCCACGCTGGTTGGTACAATAGTCATAAGTGCGTTATAGGCGAACTGAAGGTAAGTGCCTTTTAATCCACCCGATATAGTATTATAGTATATAGTTCATTTCCTTCTTTATCAAAACCTCAAGGTTACTCATACTTCCAGACCTAGGTGGCTGGGCTGTTGAGCCAGGACTTTTGATACTAGTCAAAGTCAGTTCGAGTTCGTTTTCAAGTGACATTGGTGCTGCGGCTGCCGTTTGCGTCTCGAGATTAGAGAGAGGGATGTCGTCATAAGGATCATCAACAGGAGTAGTGGTTACTGCATTGCTTCCTGTGTACTCTAGCCTTTCTACTATATTTTTGATGGCCTTGCGTATTACACTCTTTGGAGGTAGATTGAATGTTTCATCATAAATAAATTGACTTTTGTCTTCTTCGTACTTATGTGGATCATGTAAGTATAATAAAACCGCTGTCAAGTCAGTTCGCCGCTCTGAGATACGTTTCCTCAACGAATCAACAAGTTTTCGGGCTAACGGTTTATTAATATTTATCAGTTTGCTAATAATAAATCTCAAAGTAGTTTCCGCAGTAATCAAATTAGACTCACGTCTACACAAAACTTCGACTGCTAATTTTACCGGCTGTAATATTCGTTCTAGATCCATTAGCACATCATATTCCTGTTCAGTGAAAACGTAGTCATGAATTGCACCAAGACCTAAGTCAATCAGGGTTTTGGATACGCACGATCTTATTTTGTTGAATATTGTTATCATTTCGCACAGGCTTGACCACCTTGTTTGACAATCCAACAATAAAGCAATATTTTTTCCCATGTCTTTTGTCATATACGTCTGCAGCAGATCGTTTTTAGTAGGCGAATTTTTAAATAGTTTTACTACTTTTCGTACCTTCTTAACAACTTCTGCATATTCCACAGTCAGGTTTATTTCACTTGTAGGTGTAGGAAAAGACAAATCAAAAATGTCATTTTCGTCATTTTCCAAGTCATTGTCACAATTCTCATCAGCTCTTTCACTAACTGTCTCATTTCGCACTGACATTTCTTCATTTGATGCTTAATGGCCATTACGTGAAGATGTATTTTGTTTATAAATAACATCCAAAACAGCCAATTGGATGCCATGTGCATAACAGAGTTGTTGATGTGGTTTGATGAGTTTCCCAACTTTTACCATGACTTTGGCACCATCTGTGGTAATACAGATTACATCCTTATCTAAAGATAGCTCGTATTCTGATAATTTTTCTTTTAAAACAGTGATACATGTTTCTGCAGGTAGACTTCCGTAAATCCGCACCAGCCCTAAGTTCCAAGAAATAGATTTTTCATTAGCCAAGGCGTGAACATTAACGTTTAAATAGCGCCTATTTCTCGTTGAAGTCCATTCGTCGAATGTGAGGGTGAATCTGTGGTTGCTCTCTTTCAGCTTTAGGAGATCTCGAATAATGGTAATTTTTACAGTCGTGCCGAAATGCATAACCATTAATTTGATAGAATTAGGCGATTTTGGTAACTTATAGCCCCCGGCTTTAAAAAGGTCTCGTAAATCCGACGAGGTGCAGAAAACCCGGAATGGAAAACCATCTTTTGACACCATGCGTGATACCCTCGTTTCTACAGCACTGTTTGCACTTGGAAAATGGTCAGTGATTTTGTGCTTCTTTGCCGAGGTTGATGGTTGAGCTTCACAATGAGTCGATGTCGAGGAACTGGACGTTGACGCAGTTGCAGAAGCTGCAGCACTTTCGCTCCCGTCTGATGCGCTTTCCTTGTCAATTTTGTGTTTTGACTTTAGATGGACATGTAAACCTTTTGTCGAACGTCCGGTCGTTTTAATTATTGATTTACACAACTTACATTTTGCGGTTTGTGAATCTTCGGCTTTCAAAAAGTACTTCCATACAGGAATAATACCACAAAAGTCTTTATACACTTTTTCCGACATTATTGTCATTCATTAAATAATACAAAACCTGGAAATTTCTCAGTTTATTCAGATTTATCTAAAGAAATCAATATTCTATGAAAAAATCACTGCGTAACGTCATAATCACCAGTTGTAACTGGCAAAATATTAAGTACACAAACAAAGGCGGGGGAATCCCCGCGCCCTCACACTGTTTCTCTGCACCACGCATCGCTTAGCTCAGTTTACGCGCCGCCGCGCGAACATTAACACGTATGGACCATGCTTCTCTGTAATCCCGCCAATCCAGCGGGATTCCGTAATATTTTCGTACGAGATTAGTCCCGCAAAATGCATGCGGAATCCAGGTATTTCGGGATCCAGGTATCCCGGTATTGCATACCCTACCTGTATAGTAAGCAAATAGAGCGGTATGTAGAGTGAGAGAGTGCGCTCAATGCGCTTAATATTTGATTTGCTAAACTTGATTGGCAAGCGAGAAAATGTGAACATAGATTTAATAAAGCGGTTTAATATTTTATAATATGATATATAAAAATAATTGCTAATTTAAATAAGTTATTATAATTAAGTTTATCTATAAATCCAAGTAAGTCTCAAGCGTTAATAGTAAGCAGCAGATATAATAGTAGTATTATTGATAACTGCTGCACCCTGCCAAATGTGATTATCAATGGCACATCAATTGCTTATTCGGAATCCGCGAAGAACTTAGGCCTAATTATTGACAATAGGTTATCATGGGGTGCTCATAACGGACTAAAGCAGAAAAGTACATTATACTTTTCACTCGTTAAAACGATTTCAAAGTTTTTTACCCTTATCAACTAAAATCTCTCTTGTCCAAACTCTCATTTTGCCAATCTTAGATTACGCTGATGTCTGTTTTTTGGATGCTACAGAGGAGCAATTAAACAAACTTGAGCGATTGCAAAACCTATGCATTCGGTATATTTTTGGACTCAAGAAGTTTGACCACGTCTCTAAATACAGAAAGCAGCTCAAGTGGCTCCCGATCCGATTTCGCAGGAACACTCGTATCCTTTGTCTTCTTTTTAATATCTTACACAGTCCGAATTTCCCTTCATACCTTCGTAATCGATTCACCTTTTTTTTTTAAATCTCCAGATGCAATTTGTAGATCTCACCTAAAAACCCTCTTAAAATTCCCATCCTTTAAAGCTCATTCATATTCCCGTTCATTCTCTGTACATGCAGTAAGACTCTGGAATTCACTTCCTCCTACGATTCGAGAAATCAAAACAGTGACATTATTCAAAAAACGTGTAAAAGAACATTATTTATCTCTGTCTTCTGTGTAAGTTTCCATATTTTTGATATTTACTATACTTTTTATTATTTATATATATTTAATTATGACTATACATATATTTATTTTATCTTGTATGTATATATGTATGTATGTGTATATAATAACAAAGTGCACACCTTACTATCTTTTATTTATCACATATCTTTTTAACTGGCCTACTGGAAGAAATTTCATAATGAGATAAGTAGCGCCCTTGTACAAACTATTCATCATGTTGTGTTCTTTCCTTTGTTTGTGTGTACATAAATTGTTAAATAAATAAATAAGATACTCGTGGTTTATTGTTTTGGGAGAGGACAAATACGAACAACCGGACGGAGTACTGATGTGACGAGTTGGATTTTTTTTGACTCGAGTTGCTCGAGTTCATATGGCTACTGACTCGAATCGTAACTCGAGTTGACTCGAATCGATGTCTGCTGTAGGGAAAGAGAGGCGACTCGGCCGACTCGGGGACCACGAGTCAGCTCGAGCTCGAGACTGATAGTTATAATAATGATGTTATTTTTTTTAAAACATTGCCTTACTTTAGAATAACATTATCCTGTGTTGTAATGACGTTTTATAAACATAAATTTCACGCGGACAAACACCCAAATACCGAACAGCTATCTGTGGGTCACACAAATAGTTGTCCCGTGTCGGAATCGAACCCATGACCCCCGACGCCGAAGCCGATAGCCGATACCTTGGCAACTGCGCCACGGAGACATCAATTGTGATATTATGATATGGCTGCTCGAGTCGATTCGCAACACGAAACTGTTTGTACTCGATTAAGTCGATTAGCAATCGACTGCATATATTATCATATATGTACGAAAGAAGTATAGCAGGTATTTGCAATCAAAAATATTTATTTATTAAAGTACACTTAGAGATATTAATGGCATTTACTTTTCAGTGTTTAAAAAATCCTTAAACTAATAAATATTACAGTATTTTAACACAGTTATTAAACTAGGAACATAATGTTGTTATATAATACTTTTATACATATAGTAAAAACTAAGACTAGCAATGTTTAAAAATCTCAATTACAACAACAAAACAAAATTAAAATTTCAAAAAAAGTCTTTCCTTAGAACAAAATAACTCTGTTTTCCTCTAATACCTATTTATAAAATCATCACATAACATAGGAAAAATATATTTCAATAACATTGAAATAAGATGTATATTAATATAAGTAGGAAGATAAAAAAAATATAACATAATATCACTTCAATACGTCCTCTTTTCGCTACAGAAAGAATTTAAAAATAATATTTGGTCAACTTTTTTTGGCATGAGTCTGTTCCTTCTTTGATTCGTAAGTAAACCAGCCTTTGAAAAAAGTCGTTCCGACGGCACTGAGGTAGCGGGAATGCATAAATATTTATATGCCATCCGGCATAGGGTTGGATATACATTTTCCCTTTGCTTCCAAAAATGTATTGGGTTTTGCTTTCTGTCTAGATATGGCAGATCTAGATATTGTCTTAAAACAATGGAAGCAGAAGAGATTGGAGTCTGATGCATGACAGTTTCACTTATTTTCCTGTCAAAGTCTTCCCATATATCCGAGTCATCGGCCTTATTTGAAATGGAAACTTCAGATGTCGAAGCAATGGCTCGTTCTGATGTTTGCCCCTGAACTGGCTGATATTGAACCAGTTCCTCTAATACATATTTAACTGCATTTTCTGCAGTACTAATGGTCCCAAATGCATTTTTTTTAAATCGAGGGTCTAGAATGGTCGCCTTTGCTGCAGTCCGATTCGATTCATAAACACCTAGTCTTTTGTCTATAATTTCCAATAATGACCTCTGTAAGTGATTTCCAGGTTCAGTGCTTGGTCTCTTCTTTATTATAGCACTCTGTAATCCTCTTACTAGGGGAATAATGATAGACTGCGTCGGGTAAGACTCCCCAGATAATACGGTGCTGATTTTTTCCACTGGTTGTAAAAGAGCCACACAATCTTCCAGAATCTGCCATTCAGTTGAATTTAAGTTTGGCGGAGGTGAGTCAATAAGTGATAAAGTAGCGGATAGAGGAGCTTTGACTTTTAACAATCTTTCAAACATATAGAAAGTAGAGTTCCACCTTGTTTGTACGTCTTGTTTTAGTTTAATTATCTCTAAGTTCATTTGGCTCTGCATGTCTCTAAGTGTATTAGATGATTTAATACTCTGTTTAAAGTGGGTTACTATTGCACGACTTTTTGAAACAATATCCAGCACTGCAGCATTTTTTAAATGTCTATTATGGTCCGTCTCACTCTCACTATCTTTGCTAATGCAGTCTTTAACGGCAAGATTTAGTGTGTGTGCGACAAAGAAATGGTTCCTTTTTTGTAAATAATCCTTGACTGCTTTTTTCATGCTCGAAGCATTATCAGTTACAATCGTAACTACTTTATCGTATATCTCCCACTCTGTTAACGTAGTCCGCAATGCATTTGCAATATTTAATGCAGTGTGATGTTGGGAGAGCTCAGTCGTCGACACTACCATAGAGTGCAGTTTTGAATTATTTATAAAATGTGCAGTTACACATATGAAGCTCTTTTAACTGTCTGAACTCCATATATCAGTTGTCAGAGCTATATGTTCCACACTTTGTAATTTGCCAATAACTTCTGAACGGCATATTTTGTATTTATCTTCCAGCATTTGGGTCAACTTTTTTCGTGATGGCAACACATAATCCGGATTTAATCTTAGCGAATACTTTTTAAAACCTTCGTTTTCAACTATTTGTAGTGGCTGCATATCTAAAACAATCAAATCTAATAGCGCATCATCTCCTACTTTTTGGTTGATTTTAGTAGGAGCAATTAAACGCATTTGTTTTGGGCGCTTCGGAGGGGGTTCGTTGGACTCTGTGACATTTCGTATCTGTGATGGCGGCAAAATGATATCGTTTTGAATTTGACCGGCTTCTGCTCCGCTAATTAAAGAATTAGTACAAATCTGTTCAGGTACATTTTCATTTAGTTCCCTGGGTAAATTTTGTCCAATCGCTTCACTGTACTGAACTAAATGTCTTTTCCTTATATGTTTCACCAATGTTGTAGTATTTCCTACGTATTTATATACAGATGAACACAATTTGCATTTAACTTTGTTATTATCTTTATTTTTATCAAATAATTGCCAAATGACACTTCTTTTATTTGGCGCCATTACGAACAAAACACAAAACAAAACAAAAAAGTCCGGTCACGAGCGGATCGCTAACGGTCAATCAACTAATAAAATTAAACAACAAAATGTCAATGGTTTAGTTTTTAAATAATTGCTTAATTTATATTATAGCAAGTTATAGTTATAAATAGTTATAAATAGTAGTAGTTATAAATAAAATAAACGAAATAAATATAAAAGAAAAAAAATGTCAATCAAAATAAACATTCAACGCAGTTTTTCATTCGCGCAATTCCGTTTCCGTTCCGATCCTGGCCGAGCGAGCCCGACTCAACCCGAGTTCTATAATCTATTCGAGTCGATACGAGTACGATGCAACACCTTACGAACGGCGCGCGCGCGTGTGTATCGTAACATAATAAATAATAATTCACTCAACTCGAGTTGATGCGAGTTGCAACGCCTAACGAACCGCGCGCGCGAGCCGCGTGTGTAACTCGGAACAACTCGCGTGTGTAACAGCCTGGCCACGGGACATTCGCCATAGCGAAAATTCGCGCGGTGCGAACGACGAGGCGTCTTGCGACTAAAATAAATGTATAGAAATGTACGGATCAAGCCACGCGCAGCGGCGAGTGGCGAAGCGACCGGCGAAATTTACCGAGCGAATCGCGCGGGCGACTGGCGACGCGGCGGGCGACTGAAACAAAGGCATGAATCAGTACGACGCAAGCCACGGAGTCGAGCGGCAGTCGCGGCGAATAGTATAAGAAACAAAATATTTTAGTCGTTTTCGCCGCGAAAAATGAATACGGAAATTTTTATTGCTGAAATACTTGCTAGACCAGCTATTTGGAAGTCTGGCCACCCACAGCATAAATTCAAAAACGTAATGAAAAAATTGTGGGAAGAAATAAAAATAAAATTTTCTGAATGTGAAGGTAAGTAGCAATTTTTTTATTCATAGTTACAAATAATTAGTCAATAGGTTACAAAGTAGTCTTTGAAATTATTTCTTATGTTTATAGCTTGTGACGTAGCTCGATTATTCCGCCGAGACGCTATAACTTGATTAGATGTAGATCTAGAACTCATGTACCGTCTAAAATCGGGATCACTGTTTCCATCTTTTTCTCTTACAATATTATGTAGTAGACATCCAACCTTAATAATTAGTTTTGCATGTTTAGTGTCTGTTTCGATTGCTTTGAGGAAAATTCGCCACTTATTGGTCATTATACCATACGCACACTCAATTGTCACTCGAGCTCTTGACAACCTCTTATTAAAAACTCTTTTCGAGTCATCTAAACCACTGGACGGAAAGGGTCGCATTAGATACGTTTTTAGTGGATAGGCTTCGTCGCCTATTAGGACATGTGGCAGTAAAATATTTGACCCAGGTAATGTTCTTGGCGGTGGCATATTAAATTGATTGTTAGTAAGCAATTCATTAAATTTTGAAAAATGAAACGTGCCTCCGTCACTTTGTTTTCCTTTTCCACCAATCTCAATCACAGAAAATTTATAATCTGCATCAGAAACTGCTTGTAGGACCATTGAAAAAAATTTTTTATAATTATAATATTGGCTACCGCTCCGTGGTGGCTTCTGTATGCGAAAATGTTTTCCATCAATGGCTCCTATGCAATTAGGGAATTGCCATCTAGAAAAAAACATGTCTGAAATTTTTCTTAAATCTTCACTTGTTAATTTTGGTGACATATGCTGTATAACCAACTTTTTCCAAATTGCCTTTAAAGTTTGATATATCGTTTTGGCGACGGTGCTTCGGCCTAGAGAGTATGACTGAGCCAGAGATTTAAAAGTCATCCCAACAGAGAGAAATCTGAAAAACAAAAGATTTTCTTTTTATGTACCTACACATTTACTCTCGTGCATTTATATTTATTATTTTTTCAAGTGCCTAACTTCTATTTTATACTAGATTTCATTTCACCCGCGGCTACGTCCGCGTGGTTTTTGTTTCCCTTGGGAATTTTCTTTCCCGCGGGAATTTCGGAATGAAATGGAGCCTATGTCACTCTCAGGGCCATAAACTATCTCTATGCAAAAAATCACGTCTATCCGTTGCTCCATTAAGGAAGGACATACCAACAAACACGCATTTATAATATTAGTAAGGATTTAAATTAAACCTTTTTTTTTCAGTCAGCGATCTCAAAAAGAAATGGAAGAACCTGAGGGACACATATAGTAAAGAATTAAAGAAAATGCCTAAATCCCGGTCGGGTGATTCATCTTCGAATTATGAACCAGCCTGGAAATACTTCACGCTACTAGGATTTTTGAAAGATGAGTACATGCCTTTAACTGCCGAATCAAACTTAGACGAAGGAGACAGTGAAATAATAATCGACTACGGAGACGATCATGATATAGCTGTTGAAGTTTTAAATGAAGTGAGGTCACCTTCTCCTAGTCGTACATCTTCACCGATTGAACCCTCTACATCTAGTTATCAAAGTTCAAAAAAAAAACGACAAAATATACAAGATATTCGAGCAGAATATTTAGAGATTGAGAAAAAAAAACTAAAAATTCTAGAAAACGATATCTCTAAAAATATACCTCTTGACAGTGAAAAAAAAACTGATGATTACTATTTTTTAATGAGTATTTTGCCTGAAATGGAAAAACTGCCTCCTACGCAAAAACTCAGGTTAAGAAATAAAATTAACCAGGCTCTTTTAGAAGAAATAACTGTCACGATATACGGCGAACCTTATGGGCGATGTTGTTACTCGTCTCAACCAAACCAACTAAATAATGTTAATAACGAATAGAGTACCTATATAGTTAACATCGAAAAGGCTATATGATTATAATAATGACTGAAGTGAACATAAAAGGCTGATTAAAAAGTAAAAAGTTATAATATTTTAGTTGTACGAAGAGTTAAAGTCATATAATTTAGATTGTTTCAATAAATAACATAATTGTCTAAAAGTATTTTCTTTTTATATATATATATATATATATATATATATATATATATATATATATATATATATTATTGAAGACGAGACGGGCCGCTAGTATCAATATATGTTACCTTAGTGTCAAAAACAATTTTTCAGCGGCGCGTAAAATTCTATCTGCATTGACTTTTTTCTCCAATTCTGGTTGAATATTAATAAGAATATAATCGAAGGTTTCGACACTCATTCTGGTATACTCGAAAAATTTTTGTGGATACATTCTATACTTCTCGTACTTCTTGTGGAATTCTCCATCTATCACCCGATTCCTATTTAAATCATGTACTCCACAATCTCTTCCAAATACTATGTCTTGAACCAAAAAACTATTACTTTCTAAGCAATATCGAGATAACTTTGATAAAGGCATTTCAATCTCGACCTATCTGGTCGCGGTGCCGAACGTGACTAGACTCATAGATCTGTATATATACTAGAGATAGATGCGCGCGCGACTCAATTTTTTTTTTTTTAGTATCGTGCTTTGCATAACAGACGGCGCTTACAAAATAAGGATCTTGAAAAAAAGTGTAAAATTAAACACATAATATGTTGGACGCGATCCGGGGTCTTTAGATTCCGGGACCGCCCAATTATCCACCTGAGCTATTTTAACCTTAAGTATGACGGCGAAATTTGTTGTCGTATTGTAATAATATTTTAGCAGATTTTCATTACCTGAAAACACAGATAAAATGGCTTTTTCTAAAAATAAATAATGTTCAATAAATATTAATAACAATTTAAGCGTAACCAGTGACCGCTACTAACTGCGTAGTGCGCGTGGATTATTGCGTATGCATAGACTTTATATATAAGTGCCCTCTAGTGAGATTAAAATAAGTAAAATAAGTCTAGCCTAGCGCTTAGGAGTGTAGATGGGAGCACATAAAACGTATCATTTTGTTCGTAAAATAATGTTCTAAGTTGCATGCCCATGTTCAAATCTTGTATTCCACAATGTCTTCCAAATATTATGTCTTGAACCAAAAAAACGATTACTTTCTAATCAATATCGAGATACTTTGATAAAGAGATTTCACTCTCGGCCTATCTGGTCGTGGTGGCGAACGTGACTGCCCGTGGCCGTCAAACCGCGCCGCGCGAATTGTCGCCCCGCCTGCCGCTTCGCCGTTCGCGGCGCCGATCCCCGTGGCCAGGCCGTAACTCGGAACACCGCGTATAACGTCCGGTTTGCGTTCGGACGACCGAGTTGATTCGAGTTGCTTAAAACTGAACTCGAGTAGACTCGTTTAAGGTTTGATTCGAGTTACTCGAGTCAAATAACTCGAGTCGCACACCGCTAGGACGGAGGTAGGTTCCCTTAGAAGTTCTCACGGTTACTACTCGAGCTACACCATCTTTCGAAGGATGAACAGACTCAAGAATAGCTAATGGCCAAGCAAGGGGCGGTGTGTTATCGTTAATCACAACTACAACCGTGCCTGGTGCGATAGGCGTAGACGGAGTGTTCCACTTCTGACGAACTTGTAATCCATGAAAGTATTCCATCCTCCACCGATCCCAAAACGACTGGACTAATTTATCCAGTAGAGAATGTCTGTGTAACAGACTGTCAGATTTAACTTCAGCCGCAGGTAATGACAATAAAGGCGCGGTATTCAAAAAATGACTCTGTGTAAGGGCCGAGGGCTCCGCGGGATCAGAACTTAATACAATGAAATATAAAATAATTTATTATAAACAAATATGCACTTATGACACAATATATGTATTCAATTAATATTTGTACAGAGCTCTCAATATTACAGTTTTTGTAATCACGACACTTAATTACACTTTGACTAATTCGACGCGTGTTCTCAAAACAGAATGCCCAAGAATCATGATGCACCCTAATTTATACATTTCCCTTTCCACTTCACATTTCCCTTTCCACTTCTCTTCCGTTGTGCACGAAGAGGGGCGGACGATGTTGGTTGCCAACACTGCCATCCTGCATGGTTCCTGCTTCAGGAACCTCACGAGTCTATTTAAAATACTGCGAAGACATAAATTAATTAGAAACTACTTTTATATATATCAATTATCTTTTTTTTTTTATAAACTGATCATGACGCAAGTTTATAGTCAAAGGTTACAATCAGGTTACACATTTTTAGTTCTACAAAACTCGACGGCACTTTTAAGACCACCTGCACTTAAAGGAACTTTTCACACTTAAGAGACCAGGTTCGTCTTTCTCCTGGAATCACTTGCATTTAAAGGACATTTAGTCTCACTTAAACGTACCAAGTTCATTCCAGTTGCGTTTAATAAGATATTTCGTCTTAAACGTACCAAACTTATTTAAACTATGCTTATCTCGGTTTTGTTTAACTTTTTATGTGTTTTACCCATATTTTGTACTGACTTGCGCACTCAGTAAAATGCAATCAAAAATTTTGCCATATACACTTTTTCGGTACTACCTAACATCGACCTTGTGATGTATTTCCTTATACTTTACCACTTAAAAGTTCATAGTTTTTGAAAATATCCTTATTTGCTTCGGCCTGTCCTGTCTCTCAAATTTCTTTAAGCTCAAAGAACGCGATCGCTTACGCCTTTTATTTTTAGTGCGCTAATTGCGTTGCAGTCATCGTGACCTACGTGAAAAAAAAGTTGTTAATTAGCAGGCAGGATACACATTTGCCTATCCTCTCATCCATCACGCATACGAGGGCCCTCAAACAGAAATACGCTCTCATACCGTGGACTATAATAAAGTACTTCGCTTTCACATTTAAGCATACATCTCCATACGAAGTATCTCACACATGCTCTTACTTAAACTTGCGAGATCCCACGTTAACCACGTGAACCACGTTTAAAACGTGAACCAGGACAGCGCCTGCCAGGATAGAGCCTGCTGCATGTTCAGCGAACACGACTTCCGCGCATACAGAGTATAACACTTCCACGCTCACATAGTGTACGACTTCCGAAGCACCGCCATGTATAGCATACGCGCGCTCCGGAACGGCGCCCACTACGCGTGAAGCATACGCGTCTGCCGAAACCTGCTATGATACAGCTGGACCCGGTAGTCCATACCGACCAGCAAGGCACACACTCTCCTTACACTCGCGTACATGTAATCACACCACACGTGCTACTGTAACACATAAAAGAAAACATTAAAAAGTCTCAGTCGGAACTTGATTTCAAGAAATGCAGCACTACTCTAGGGACACCATTCGCTTTTCTAGGGCACCATATACTGAGCTGCGGCAACACGACAACCTCTGGTATGGTGCGATCCTCATGTAACGTTAAATTATCTCTTCAATGTCAAAACTAATTTTTATTTACTTCGATTTCGTCAGTTGTTATACTTTGTTTTTCCGCAACTAAATAAAAAGTTAAGCAATTATTCTTACAAAATATTTTTAAGACAATGTTTAGGATAAATTTGCTTTCCTCGTGTAATCAAATGGTGATCGCTAGCAGCGTCAAATAATGTGCCTGTGGCGTCATAAGCCCACAGCATACTTCCACTCAAGAGCGAGCGCTACAGCACCACGCTTTCCATTATACCCTCAACATTAGATCCCAATTTTCTCGAACATAGCACTTTGATTAAACTGTAACACTTGACACATTAGAATACAAAAATACTACTTAGTGTTTTTAATTCATCGCACGTTAAAGTTAAGCATTTTTTTTCTTTATCGTTTAAACATGTTGAACTTTAAACTTAGTCCCATTTCAATTATACTAAATTTCAATTTATAACATAACTCGAGCATGTTAAATTTCCACTGAATGCAAAACTATAACTCATTTTAAAATACCTCCAACATTTCTTTTGACATTTTTACGTAAATGAATAATGAATGTACTTGCGGGTACCTTATTATCAATTGAATCTTAATTGAACAAAACGATTTAACTTTTGGCTTAAAACATTTCACTTTAAACTTTTGCTCTACACTTTAATTGTATGTCAATGTCGTAAATAGTACAGCAAATTTCATCTCGACATTTAATAAAAAACAAAGGCATCAACGCGAAGTCTTTCACAAAGTTAATAACTATCACACTATTCGAAGATTATATTATGTGGACGATAACGGGGATTGTATCCCACTTCTGATGTTAGCACAATGAAATATAAAATAATTTAAAATAAACAAATATGCACTTATGACACAATATATGTATTCAATTAATATTTGTACAGAGCACTCAATATTACAGTTTTTGTAATCACGACACTTAATTACACTTTGACTAATTCAACGCGTGTTCTCAAAACAGAATGCCCAAGAATCATGATGCACCCTAATTTATACATTTCCCTTTCCACTTCACATTTCCCTTTCCACTTCTCTTCCGTTGTGCACGAAGAGGGGCGGACGATGTTGGTTGCCAACAATACTGTCAAGGGCCGCGAGTTTAGCAGGCATTCAATTTGCGAAAGAATAGTATTAAGTTCTTCGTATGAAAGTAAATGATGACCGATAACTCGGAACAGATGTGCTTTCACGACCTTGACCATACTTTCCCATGCGCCTCCAAAATGATGGGAGTTGGGACAGATGAACTTCCATGTAATGCGACTTTCGGCGCACTCCTGCTCGATCTTTGGGCGATATTCAACGTTTAAAAATTTATAGAGATCGCGAAGGTACGAAGTGGCACGCTTAAAATTCGTTCCGTTATCCGAATACAAGAACTGAATCGGCCCTCGTCTAGAGAGGAAACGTTTCAGCGCGTTGAGGTAACTGGAAGTACTAAGATCAGTAGCGATTTCTATATGCACAGCTCGAGTTGTGAGGCATGTGAATATACATAAATAGCCTTCTCGCTGCGTATACCACGTCGACGTACAGGACTGTAGGCAACAGGACCGGCATAATCGCAGCCCGTGTGAGTGAATGCCTTAATAACCTGTCGTGTACGACTTTGGGGAAGATTAGCCATCAAAGGGTAAGTTGACGGGGTCTAAGCCGGAAAC